CAATCCCCCACCCATAATCACAAATCGACAAAACAAACTACACCCTCTCCTTGTTCACCCACCCCCCACCCCCCCACCCCCACCCCCCCCCCCCCCCCCCCCCCCCCCCCCCCCCCCGCGCGCTGGTCGGCCCCTGGCGAGGATCATACGATCGGGACGGGGGATGATAGTGGTAGGGTATATAAGGTAGGTAGGTAGGGTATATGTAAAATGTAGGTATTAGGTAGGTTATCGTTTTTGTACTCACGTTAATCCGGTCGACCGCCTCATACCAGCAAGGATAGTCGAGACTGCGAACCGAGTTAGCTATCAATATACAAGAACGGAGAAGGGGGACAGAGAGGGAAAACCACGTACTGAGAACCGCATCCACGGCGTAGTGAGTAAGTCGTCCAAGCTTTCCCCAGAGGCCAAATGTCAGCAAGTTGAGAAACTGTCGGGAAGAAGACACATCGATCAGAGATCAGCGTCCGTCGCGGAAGTAATAAAAAAAAGAAGCAAAGAGAGAGTGTGTGTGAGAGAGGGGGGGATTCCTGTATGTAGTAGTGGAAAGGCAGAAGTGAACTCTCAGCCTTTCCTTCAGAGCTTCAGATGCTCTCGCGTATACTCAAAGGGGGGGTGTGATTATATGCCTAGGGGAAAACATACCACCATTTTGATTGATGTAAGGAAGAGTAACAGTAAAAAAAAAGAGTGATGATAGTTCTGGTTCGCAGGAGAATATCGGATTAATCGGAGAGTTTCTTTCTTTACCTAGTTGGAGGAAGGTTTAAAAAGGTTGGATTAAAATAAAAATCACGAGGTTGTTTGGCATAAGGTCGGGAAGTCGGTCACTGCGTTATCCTCGAGGAACAAAGAGAAGGTGTTATTACCTAAGGTACAAGGCGACATCCCCCGTTGCCGCGTATTGCTGAGGTCGTGGCGGTGGGCCAAGTGGTTCCAGCAGCCCACGTCTAGGTATTTAGGTACATGTAGCTTAAGCGGGCAGGCGGGGCGTTAATCCCACTGAAGCAAGATGTCCCTTTACAAGATTATTACTACTTTTATGTATATTATTTACTAAAGAATTATTATCATAGTATTAAGAAACGTTCCCCACGGTGTCACGATCTTTAGCCACCCCCTTATTGTCATACGTTTTAAATTATTAAAGAACAACTCCTTAATACCAATTCCCTCCACAATATAAATCCCGTTCTCGTCCTTCTTAAAAATATTAACATAATAGTTTGGTATGCTGGTTACGAGAACAAATCTGTGGCTCTTGGATTGACAGTATTAAGTGTGTAATACGATATCGGATTGAACAATGAAAGGAAATACAGAAAGTAAACATAACGAAAAATGAATGCATGCAATTGGTTGAATGATTTCTGATTGTGTACCTAAGGTAACTATCTAAAAGAAGGAGGATCCACGAAATGTGGGAGGAAAACAGGTATTAACCCAATTGTGTCCCAACAGTGGCCTCTGGAATCGAAAGCACTGAACGGGGCAAAAAATAGAAATAGTTGTTTTTGTCCGTCGAAGGTTGTCGGAAGGCTCCCGGAATATAAAGTATCGTCGAGTTTAAGAATTATCGATAGGTTTAGGCTGGAAGGGAGCGATCAAATGCATTATCGTTCCGTCTCCTTTTCAAAATGTAAGAGAAGAAGCTTGATATAAGTCCTCAAACTCAAGTGGGTGGAGCTGCTCTGGTGAGGTTGTTTGTGGATTGTTGACAAGTGCAGGCTCTGGAGAGTGCAGGGCATTTCTTGGTTGAATAGAATACTGAAATGCTGCACCCGGACAAATCCAACGCCTCTTTCTCTGCGCAGTGGGATTTGCGTTGGCAGATCCGTGCAGTTGTTGGATCTCCCCTTTCACCCTTGAATTCATCAGGATCTAACTCTTCCAGGAGTCACGACTCTCTTCTGATCGCCGTAGCACCTGATGTAATAGTATCGTCCATGACTCAGTGATAATTCTTAGAGGTAGTGATAGCGATAATAGTAATACTCGGGTGAATGTAAAATTAGGATGCGGCTCATCATTGAAAATAGGGATAAGTAGGACCGAGTCGTCATCCTTTTCGTGTCAGTGAATAGTCCCGCAGTTATCTTCCATGGTTACCATATACACTATGCCGGGATCTGAATTACGGCGCCAACATATTGTTGATATCCACCTAGGCGTGTATGGACTTGGCTCAAGGGGAAGGCAGAAGATCTCCAAGTTGCCAACAGTATTTCCCAGTCATAGGCTAGATATCCTAGATCCGGGGCATGATCAACTCCTTGGCTTGGCTGTGTCCTATATTAGAAACAGCTTTGGCATCTCAGAGTCCATATGCTTTTTCCAGTCTAACCATGGAGCTTTTCATCCTCAGCCTTCGCTTTGTTGTGATTTTTGTGGTGACTTCTGCGGTCAGTTGATACGCAGCCTCCTATGTTGTGGTGTAATAGGGTTCTCAATAAAGGTTTTTGGCGATCTTTGATAGTTGGTGAAACGATCTGTGTGACCTTAATTTCGATGAGGAATAAGACCATACAGAGGTTAACAGGCCGAAACGCTCTGGGAAGGCACTGGAGAAAGAATATAAATATATGTTGGTAGAAACATGAACAATAACAACCGATGTTCTTAGGAACTTTCGACGGGACATCTTGCTCATGGCCCTCAACTTCCTTTAGTAGGTATGCTTCACCGCTTAATAGAATAGCAGTTGCGAGTCTCTCTGAATAAAGATAGGTAGAGACACTGATAATATGGAATACCGCACTAATAAAAAGTTCGTCTGCGTCCCGGTGAAAATAATGCGCTAGAACTTTTCCGAGGCGCCAGAGTACAGCTAGATGCCAAGTATTTCGAACCTGATTCTAACCTTAATGTGTCGATACTTGAGGATTCCAAATGAGACATGTGGAGTAAAGAATATTTTCGATGTGTATAGCCACGGGCTCTCATAGTTAGGTTAGATTTCCTCATGACGCACAATAGTACGTCCGCTCTGGTTTCTTCAGATCCCATAAGGTAAGAAGGGTGTTCATATGTTCATATGCGTCCGACGATGCGAGCTGTCTCTGCATTCAAGGGAAATTGACAAACAGCATCGCAGTCGGCTAAGTTGAGGGCTAATCATGCTGATTATGAATGGCTTGGGAGTTGTGTAGAACTCGAATATCGGTAGATTGTGAATGCAGCAATGCGACCATCGTTATGTAAAGACATATGGGCTCGACTGGACGTCAGTGTTGGCTCAATACCATAAGTGACATTAACGGCTATGCCAGCGCAAGACGATATAGAGTGACAACAAAGTTGTTTTGGTGCCTTCTAGTTCTACCTCATGATGGGCTCATCGGTTTGAATATTGGGCTTGGAGAACTCTGGGACTGTCGTGACCTTGTAGAAAGCTAGGCCGGAGCGAAATAGAGAATATCCAGCTAGCGCAGCGACAGGCTGGAAATAATATTTAACGCGGATGACGAAACCGAAGTGTGTGATTGCCGGTAATGTTGTCGCGACTCGAATTTCAGCAATGGAGGAGACATCCTTAGCAGTGAATAGGTAGCCAAGGGCTCGCCGAAAGAGACAGCTCGAGTTGATAAGGAGTCAAATAATAGAAAATGAATTTCGGCGAGTAAGGGGAATAGAGGGAAGTTGAGTGCAATAGGATGTTTGGGGGAAACAATACTCGAACTTAGATGGCATGGCATTCAGCTTTTTGCCTGTGCGAGAGTATGACAACCGAGTTTGTAGAACAAGTTTCGGTCTCATGTTCCCTATTGATGCATTGGTTAACCACTTGACCCAAACGACTTGTGAGCCATAGATAGTGATAATTTCAATGAGGCTGTTTTAGAAAGTTGAGTGAAATTGCTAGACTTACCTATATTGATGCTTCTTGCATCACTTTGACGGAATTTGAGATGGATGTTATCAACTACAGACATGTAGATCCCTGCTGCGAAGGTACCTCGGTAATATTTAGGAGCTACCTAGGACCTATGTCTGGAACTTGAAAATGCCTATGAATGTAATGTGTCAGTTGTCAGGTTTCGGTACATGACTTCGATATTGCTATGCGAAATGTTTCTCTCGACATAGCCCAATAATAGAAGTCGGTCTAGGATTCAGCTGTCCTTTCGCAAGGAACCAATTACCCTTCCGCAACTCACCTCAAATAGTATAGTTAGTAAGGAAACAACAGGCAACCAGCCCTGTAACCAACTATTAGTAAAAGAGTCCTGCGAAGCTGTATAATAGGGTTTCGTAACCCAAGACAACAGATCTTATCTTGGACATTTATTGAGTGCATGTGAAGCATGATTGTGCAATGGGGTAAAGGCAAGAGAATAGGGGGAAGTATGAGATGGAAGGGATATACCTAGTCCAGTAGACCGGTGGGTTTGCTGAGAGCAAAGCAGCGTTCGGTTGTGATGACAAGGTGTAGGAGGGTATAGAGATAGGTTCAAAGTCTTAAAATGAAGTATGGTGTTTGTGTTAGGGTGTGGTAGGGTATTGTAATGAAATGCGAAAGGGTTATGTGAAAGGGTTGTGTGGAAGAGAGGAAGTGGAAGGCAACAATGATTGAGGTGTAGCAAGGGGCAATAAGGGAAGTGACATATTACACGTGCCCCATGCGAGAGCGAAGATCGAGTTCAAAGACAACGTATCACTAGGCATAAACATGGGGAAGGATACTAACCTTGGGTGTTGGTGGTCCTATTGCTTGACGGAGTCAAAGTCGGAATAAGTGTCTGACTCATGATTGCCCCAAGATTCATCACCGCAAAATATTTAAAGGTTTGAATAGGAGTTTATAGTATGGTGAGTGAAGCGTGGGTAGTGTTGTGTTGTGTTGTGTTGTATAATGTGTAGGTGTTAGGTATGAAAGAGAAGAACTTGTTGTGTAAAGTGGGAAGTTTGGGAAGAAATAGAAATGGGATTTGAAAGTTTTTAAAGAAGAGTTGAGAGGAGTGGGTAGGGTTAAATAGAAAAGAACCCTAAGGGAAAGAAAGACTGAAAGAATCTGGGAGTTCCTTCCCTAAGTAATTCTAGGAATCTAACGGGTTGCCATGTCGATAAATCGTCTCTGACGATGCTTGTTGCTTCGTTGATTTCTTGACATCAGTTGTTTTGCTGCGGACGTGAGGATGTGGAGGGAAGGAGGAGTAAGAAGATATATGTACCTCCTAGCTTGGATATCGGATGAGTGGGAGGAAAACCAAGAGCCCATGTAAGCTGAAACTGAAGCAGGTGATGGCATTAGGGAGTAGTCAAGATGTATTATGTTTGATTATCCTAGAAATCTAGGTGCCGAACCAGGAAGTCGTCAAGCAGTACTGACGTCGATTTTGGGACAATTACAAGCAAGTTTATCCCAGTGGTAAGGGCCGAGGGGGTCTCAACTAATCATTTAGCTATGGCTGGCAAACCTACCTGACATACCCTTAGGGGTAGGGGGTATTTTGAGGGAGTAGCAGCAAGTATTTGCATCATTCACTGGCTTATAGTGTAACTTACTCGTCTATAATAAGCAGCAGCGGTAAATGGAGCTGCTATGCGTCCAAGGAACCGACGACAGGAGGTCCTTTAAGTCAAATGCTGATAGCATATCGTGAATAGATCATGTTATATGAGACTACCCTAGCAAGATCATTTTCCAAGCCTAACAGGGCAACAGTACGGTCTTGTGAATGGATGGCATCTGTATATGGCACGCAAACAGGGAAGGCGCCGAAGCTTAAGAGCGACGTGATCTTATTCAATTGGCCGCGTCTATAGAAGCCGGACCCACCGTACTGTGTAGAAGAGGCTGTGGAGGATATTCACATTTATCCACAAGGACTAGGTACTTCCGGTAACGGCGAGAGAATGGGTTTCATACCGTCTTAGAAGGGATATTTTATGAAAGGGAGTGTGTTGTGGTTGAGAGCATTATCTACTGGGCAAAAAAGTCCCTTTCTCATGCCCTACAAAGAGCTTCCATGTCAGAGGGATCCCGTGATGTATGTCGTACATAGAGTGAATACTAGAAGCAGTAGCACGTAGAATGTCAAGTATGCAGTGTATAGTAGTGATTTATTAACGCTTGCCCTTCGAAGCACCTTCGAGGGAGCAGCATGCTCCTTATATACACTATCCTAGTGGGCCATAAGGCCCAATCGGCACTAGTGCCTCATACCCCTGACATTCCATAATGTTCTACTGGGAATATATGCTTTTGGGTTGACAGTATGATATAAGGAGGTTGGTATAGAAGGAATCACATGAAGCTGAGTAGTCATTTGCATCACTCTCTTTGACCCTTTAGGCAAGGCCCCGCCTGACTCTGGTTCTGGCGAACTTAGTCGTTAAGTAGGTGAAACAATATTTACCTGCCTAGGTACATAAAGGGATTTTGTCCTAGGAGGTTATGCCTGAGTTCTACCTGAGGTGGGCTTTATGGTATAAGGGTATCTGATTTTGGATCGCGTTTAGTGTTAATATTCGTATTATACGCATCGCGCCAGCCAATAGGAACCAACGTGGTTCCCGGAAATGGCAACTGGCCCTTTGCTTCTGTTCGGCGCATTGGATAGCAACGCAGGCGGTGGACCGCACGTGCTTTGGAATATTGTTAGAATTAAGAATTTCCTATTGACCTACCCAGAATTTTGCCAGATATCGCTTGACAGGTATTCGAGTTGATGGTCATTACGATGCACCGCCACGTGGATTCATGATGCTTTCTAAACCGTTTCCTGATGCCCCAGGTAGCGTCTGACAGCGGGGCTTCCTACGTTTTATGGTCAAGATTAGCACAGTTGTTATGCTTGCTTCGTAATCGTAGGAGTCACAATACGCCGGGTCAGCTGAACGCTCCCGCAGGTAAGGCAACTTAGGTAGAAGCAGTATTCCAGTAAGTTTAATGTTTGAATATAGTGGCATGAATATTCCTTGTGGCTAGTACCTGCGAAAAAGGGGCGCACAAATGGAAGCATTGTGGGCTTATTTAGAAAAGATAAATGTCAGTCTCATACAAGTAGGCCAAGAAATAGTCACGAGATTGTGATTTTATACCTAAACCATTGCTCCAGCTCCCGGGCCCTCGGCTTCTGGTCTTTCGAAGCCCGATTCTTTTTATAACTACGGATCAATAGACTATCTCGTAACGCGACGGGGTATTTTGTGGACTATAACAATATCTAGGTGCGGTCGTAGGAACGGGATTGATATTATGCCCTAATCTCGGGCCCTAATGCCTGAAATGGGTGTCTATGTCATATTCTGGAGGAGGCACATACGAACAAGCACACCTAGAAGCTTCCTATTTAATGTGCGGTATCGAAAGCCCCTTTTATCGAAGGTAAAGTTCCCTGATCTTGCATCTTAGAGCAACACAGTTGGAAAATTTGGAAAATATCGAGACCTAATTTCGTAAGGCGAAGTAAGTCCCTTATTAAAGACCTACCAGGGTATTAAATACCTCTACGATACATTATACCTTTATCAGCAAATCAAATCGTCGTCATGCCATTTACCTGACATATCGGTTACTTTGGGGGGTCTTAGCGATATGATCACTAACTACGACGTGCTTATGTGGGACGAGACGTTCCAAGGCGGGTTCCAAGGGTACCTCTTTCAAGATATGAACACACATTCCATATTCGTTACTTGCTGACGCATATCTCATATACCTAGCCCCGGGTTAGGGACGCTTAAGCTCTATCTCCTATTTTCGAATAAAGACTGCTAACTTATAACAGTGGTGTTGGTCCATCGAGGGAATGGATGTAAGCGGCTAGGGCTTATGGGGGTATAGTCATGGAAAATCGGATATCTTAAGTCCTTAAACTCCGTGTAACAATCCCTAGCCCTATCGTTGGGGCTATTATAGACGGTGGAATAGGGTCTATTCCTTATATGCGAATCAATGTCGAGTTTGACTGTCGCCTAGATGCCGGTTGGAAAGTTCCTTTTCCAACTTGATGCAGCTTGAATGAGCACTCATTTCACTTAGGGTTTGACATAATCGTGGCCGCGAATGTAGGTACCTTTAATTGCCTCACTAGAAGGTCTACGTATTAGGTAAATGATATATCGACATAGTCAAATTTCCAGTATGTAGCTGTGATGGCCTTGGGATGAGGAATTAATATATGAGATGGTGGTATCCTGTTCATGTCTAAACCTTTCCCAATGCAGCCCGATGTCCCTATGAGTAGAGGTTTTGAAAAGAAATTTGTAGTTTTCCTCCCCACTATAGATTCTTGATAATAAATCTTTTCCTGAGCCACTCTCCATACTTGATTATACCCAATGATACGGGGAACAGTGCGACAGCGATAAAGCCCAGTGTGCTGTTGCCCCAGCCGATGCCGAGTTTGCTATACATCGGTAATCCAGCCAGTGGGAGTACGGCACCGGCTAACGACCGAACAATAGTGTTGCACGCTATGGCTGAGGCGGCATAGATAGTAAAGGCGTCGACTAGGTATAGCTGGATGCCCATAAAGACGACTATGTTTCCGATACCAACGAAACTTGTACCGATAATAGGGACAATCCAATGCACCTTATACTCGGCTGTCCATCCATAGATAAACAGACCCACGGGGATTAAAAGCGCTCCTAGCGGAAGCAGCGGTAACCGATATTCTGGCTTCATACCACCCTTAGGTTCCCCAGTTACTTGGGATTTTGCGTCGGCTTCTGCAGCTTTCTTCTGAATGTATCTGTCTGAGGTAGCGCTAAAAAGGAAGATGCCCATCATACTTCCCACGCCAAGTCCGATGAATGATAACCCTACGATGCTTGTAGAGAAGCCATAATATCCCTGGAACACCTCGGTCATGGTAGTAAACATCAGATATAGATAACCGTATGTGACAGCCATGTAGAGCGACGTGATGGCGATGATCGGCGAAAGGAATAACATCTTAAAGGGACGAATGATACCACGCTTGAAGTAGTCTTTCGGTGACAAGCCGGCATCGAGCTTGGATCGTAGCAACTCGTTTCCGGTCTCCTTGCGCAACTTGGCGGCCTTTCTCTCGAGTATTACAGGAGCATAACTCTCCTTGAGAGAAAATACCATGACAACAGAAAGAAATCCGCCAAGGATGGCTAGGAGCCAGAAAGACCACCTCCAACCCTTAGCAGCAGTAAGGAAGCCACCAGCGACAGGTCCAATAATAGGACCTAGAAGCGGGCCGATGCTAAAAACAGCCATTGCTGCCCCTCGCCTCTCCTGAGTGATCATATCGGCAATGGTCCCGCCACCATTAGTGATCGCCACGGAACCGAAAACACCAGCAAAGAAGCGGAAGACAATCAGGGCATTTAGCGTTGGGGACAGCGCACATCCGACCTGGAAGGCTATAAATCCTAGGTTGCCGACATGGTAAAGGATGACTCGGCCGTAGATCTCAGATAGCGGTGCAAATAACATGGGGCCTGCTGCGAAGCCCAACACATATACCGAAACTACGAATGCGGCGATTTCCAAGGATGTCGAATGGAACTCCGCGACCACTTGAGGAACACCGGGCGCGAATATGGCTACGCGACAATCAATACTGATCTAACCTAGGAAAGATGAACAACAAACAACAGATACGAAACTTACATGATGCAAGGGGAGAAACAAATGTCATGCCTGATATCAGCCCGCAGTTTAACACTTTGCGCCATGTCGGCCAATTATAGGGGTTCGCAACGTCGTCGGGTCCGTCCCACCAGACAACGTTGGGGTCGCTATCGCTGTCGTCGCCGTCGTTGCTACTTGTCAGTACCGCATCGCCAGGTGCTTGTGCTTTCTCGACATCACGGTCCGCTCTGCTCCTCTTGCTCGCGAAGGAGGTCCGCCTCCGCTCGGCTATTGACCGCTGTCGTTGAAGCTCCTCTTGTTCGTTGAGCACGAAACCCTGGCTTGACGGGATATCTGCGTCATGTCCTTCGTCTACGGCCTGGCTTATCTTTCGCTGCAATTGTAGCTCCACCTCTCCAGATTCGTCTCCATCCGTGTGCGTTGCAGAAGCAGTTGATGCTGCACTGGACACCATCGCCGTTCACCTAGGTAACTTCTATGTTAACGACTAGAATTCCCTTTAAATCTATATATACCCATTTATTGCCATTTACGACGAAATGAGCTCGGGTATCGTGGGTAGGGAGCTAGTTTACCATAAACCGTAAAGCTTTGTGGTAACTATCTGACTACCTAACCTAAGGTAAAATAGTTTAGTGGCAAAATGCTTACTTGTGCTTGGCTTCTTTGGAGTTCTTGGAGCTCTTGATCTTTGAGGGGGAAATGGGGCCCTAAGGAGATCGATCTGCGTTGAGACGGGTCTGTTTGTTGTTGCGCGTCCAATATCGAGGCGTTCTTTAACGATTCTCTTGTTGGAGAGATATACAACTTGGCTTAATAACGTGCTCTACGTTATATGATCACCACCTGAAGTTCTCGCGGGATCTCGAGATCATATCACCGATAGGATGAAGACATCACATAGAAAGGGAAGAGACGACGGGAAGGGACAAGAATAAAAGAGTTATTGGACCGAATCCCGGCGCTGGTCGGGTTGACTAATTACAATAAAGACGATGTCACGCTTTTTCCAGTGTAACATTCGATTGGCTATAGCTGGTGACAACGCCAAGGGTTATGGGTAAGAAGATCAGTATCGGTAGGTCTTATGTGGATTTATCGGTCGACCGTCCGACCAGCCGAGCCCGATTTTGTGCAAGACCGGGGCTTAGAAGCGTTTGAAGCATTTCGCAGGGTCCTTAGCCATCCCAACTATTTGGAGTATCCTGGGTATCCTGGGCATCCTGGCCGGCCTGGTTGGTCAAGGGCCGTTTGGATGGTAACATTCTGCCATCGGGCTGGATGGCTAGATAGAAGGATAGGTACGAAACCGAAAGAAGCGAAGCTCCAATATGTTCCCATTAGGTATTCCATTTTTACCCGTTGCGTACCTACCTATGAACCAATGCGATCGATTCATTGGAAGTAGTTGAAGAAAAACCATCCGCAAAAGTCGGCAAGCAAACATTTACCTTAGCATTTTATTCGAAATAGTTAATACCAATTTGCAGTTTTATCTCGGAAGGTCATCCGCGTAGCTGCTATATTACGGTTAAGCATAGCGGCCACTCGGCAAATGCCCTAAAATTGCTTAAAATTTATAGGGTTACCCCTCAAAATGGTGGGGTACATTTAAATTGCAAGGATGCCTTACTATGCTTTAAAATATGTTTGTGCTTAAAATAATACATTATGCATTAAAAAATGATATTTAAAAATGCAAGGGATTTGTTTTTAACTTAAATGTATTAATTAAAAAAGTAAATATTATATTTATAATATTAATAATAATTAATTTTTTTATAATTATAATAGTAATTTACTTATATTTTAATATATAAATTATTATTTATTTTATAATTAATATTAATTTAATATAATATTAATATTATTAAAAATTAAAAATTTACATTAAATATTATAATAAAAAATATTTAAAATATAATATTAATAAATTTTAATTTTTAAATAAATAATAATAATATAAGTTAAATATTAAAATAAATGTTAAAGTATTTATTAAAAAAGCTTAAAGTTTTTCCTTTTATATAAATTAAATATAAAATTTAAATTAATTAATTACTTTAATAATTTTTTTTACTTTTTTTTTTAAATATTTTAATTTAAGATAATCTTAATTAAAATTATATTATTTATTAATTCCAAAACGTAGTTAAAAATAGTAAACTTAATTTATTAATATTATATTTTACTTAATTAATTTCTTTTAAAAGTTAAGCTTTAAAAAATTATTTAAAAAATGTTTTAAAAATAAAAAAATATTATTAAAATTAACACTTATATTACATTTAATTAATAATAGTATTAATTAAAAAATTATTATAATATAATAAATTTACATTTAAATTTATTAAAATGTAATAATAATAAATTTTAATTTTTAAATAAATAATAATAATATAAGTTAAATGTTAAACGTTAAAATATTTATTAAAAAAGCTTAAAGCTTTTTTTTTTATATAAATTAAATACAAAATTTAAATTAATAATTAAATATATAATAATGTATATAATTTAATTATTTTTTTATTTTATTTTTTAAAAGTATTATAATTTTTATTAATATTTTGCTATAATATTAATAATCCCGTTTTTATTTTTTTAATTAATGTTATTTTTAGTAAATGTTAATTCGTAATGTAAATATATTAAAAAAAGTTTATTTTTTAAATAATTAATAAAAAAAAAGTTAACATAAAAGTAAAAAATTAAATAAAATAAATATTATATAATAAAAGCACGTATTTTTACTTATAAAATCTTAAATTTAAAAAAATAAAATATTATTAAATTTTAAATTATTATTTTATTTTTAATACATATATACATATATATTTTTTAATAAAACAGTTTTTAATAAATATATATTAATAAACTTTAATTAAAAATATAAAAGAATTTATTAAATTATTTATTTTTAAATTTATTTATTATAAAAATTTAAATTTAATAAATAATTAAAAAGTTTTAATTTAATGTTTTAAATTATAATTTAAAAGTTTATATTAAAATAAAATAAAAAAACATTATAATTATATATAATATATATAAACTTAAATATTTATATGTTTTAAATTTATAAAAAATTATTATTATTAATTTATATTAAATTAATTCCGTTTTAAATAAGCTTTTTTATAAAAAATAAAAGAAATTTTAAGTTTTTAATTAAATGTAATAAACATATTAAAAAAGAATTTTATTTTATATAATAATATTAAATTTTATAATATTATAATTTTATTACAAATTAATAATTTAATAAATTATATTAAATAAAAAACCAAAATTATAATTAATAATAATTCGAATAAAAATTAATTAAATAAATTTTAAAAACTTAATATATTTTAATAAAATTTAATAAATTAATAAAATAAAATAATATAATAAAAAAAGCATTTTATATATTTATTAAACGTTTTTCTCATGTATTTAATTATTTATTTTAAACTTTTTAATTATTAATTTAAATCTTATATTTAATTTATATAAAAAGAAAAACTTTAAGCTTTTTTAATAAATATTTTAAATAAAATTATAATAATAAAAATAAATAATATTAATATATAATAAAATTCATTAATTATATATAATATTTAAATTATTATATAATTAATTATTTATTTCATTATTTATTATATTAATATATAATATTTATTTAAATATATTTTAATATTATAAAATTTTTGAATTTTTAATTAAATATATATAAATTATTCTTTTTAAAAAAATTAATAATAAATAATTTATTTATTTTTATTTTTTTATACGTACGATCTTTTTAATACATATATATAATTTCTTTTATATGTACGTAATTAAAATTACAATATTTACGATATTTACAATACTTATATAATACTAGAAAAGTTAAAAACGTAAAATATTAAATTAATTTAAAACGAAAAACGTTAAAATATAAAATATTAAAATAATTTAAAATGAAAAATGTTTATAAACTTAAGGTTTTTATGCATTTTAAACGTAATGCTTTATGTTTTTTTTTTTTAATTTTTAATATTTTTTTTTATAAAAGTTATATTTATTACGAACTAACAGGCAACGAAGCCATACCCAGTATGGAAGCGGGGATGTTAACCAACGCCTTTTCGGTTGAACCTCGGATAATTGGATCTTAAGATTCTTATAGATTTTATGGATTTCATGAGATCCCTTGGATCAACGAGATCTATAAGATTTATAATGCCTTTAAAAGAACATTAAGTAAGGAGGAAGTTTATAAGATATTTAAAACCATTATATATTTAGATATTTATTTACGTTTCTTTAATTATTAATTTAAATCTTATATTTAACTTATATAAGGAGAAAAACTCTAAGCTTTTTTAATAAATATTTTTAATATTTTATTAATATTTAACTTATATTATTACTATTAACTTAAAATTAAAACTTTTATTATTATATTCTAATGAACTTAAATATAAGTTTGTTATATTTTAATAGTTTTTTAATTAGTACTATTATTAATTAAATATAGTATAAGTATTAATAATAATATTTTTTTGTTTATTTAAATTAATTATAATTTATTTATTTTAAAATATTTATTAAATAAATCCCTTAAAAATTAACTTTTAATAAAAGTTAATTAAATAAAATAAAATAATAAATTTAATATATTACCTTTTAATTATGTATTAAGATTTATTAATAATATAGCCCTTATTGAGATTAGGTTTTAAGTTAAATTTTTTAAAGAAAAGGAAAAAAAGTCCATAGAAATTATTAATAAAAGAAAAGAAAAAACCTTAATTTAGGAAAAGCAAATTAACCTTTTAAAAGATAGACTTTAAGAAATATATAAAGATTATAAGAAATTTAAAAACAAGTTCGAAGCTTTTAAAAAAAAACTAATTAAATTTAAGATTAAAAAGAATAACGATCCAGATAACGATCTTAATGACGACCTTAATAAAGATCTTAATTTATAATTTGTAAGGTAATAAAAACCTACGGTCCTATTATTAATAAGTTAAGGATTTAAGCTTTTATTATTACTTAAGTATAATGGTACTACGGATATAAAGGCTTAACTTAATGCGGTTAAACTTTATTTAGCCTTTTATTAAAATAGCTTTATTAAGGACAAATATAAAGTCTTAATTATATGTTAATATTTAAAAAGCAATGCCTTTAAATAATTATAACTTATTATAAATAATTATTTTAATAATATTTAAAAGGAAATAAAAGAATCTTAATATATCTTTAATAAATATTTTAATTTCGAAAATAAAATATAATTAATGTTTAGTAACCCATTTAAAAAAAAAATGCTCATAAGGTTATTCGGAACTTAAAATAAATTAAAAAAGCCTTAAAATACGCTATCAAGTTTAAACGATTTGCAATAATTGCTTAACTCCTTAAAGATATTTAATTTAACTATTTTTACGAAAGATTAGTTATATAAGTTAAAAATAAAAT